CTTTCTCAGCCTCCGCTCCATTGTAAACCGGACCGTTACACACACACGTTATAGTCGTGGTGTAAAGTCCAATAAATGCCTAGCGTCGAATATCCGCTGCATTAATACGTTAGTCAGTCATCTTCGTGATACCAAAAGCGATCCGTCGTCCGTCTATTTTGAACACCGGCCTATCTTTCGATTTCTCACCTCAAGTCGTCAACTTCTTTTAGTGAAAAGTTATTATAAATTGTTTCTCTGATACCTTTATTATCTTGGTTTCTTGTTTTTTATTTTTATTGGATAAACTTGATAGACATGCGGAAATATTTAAAAAAACCTTCGGGTTAATGCCGTAATGTTAAAAACATTTTTAAAATTGTCTCTCTTTTGACCATTTTAAATTAATAGGATGTACCCACCAACGATGCTTATATTTTTTACTTTTTTCTGAGCTTGGTGGTTTTTATTAAAAGTATACACCAAATAAAACGCTTCTTGCAAAATCAAGTCAAATTTTTTTAAATCATACACTTAAAAAATAACAAATATGATGACTGACAACGAGTCCAATGAAAAAAGTTAGAAACGTACCTGCAATGTTTTACTATATTTTTTTCATGCGTCGCAAACGCATCATTATAATAGCATAATGTGTAAACAAAACAGCGTAAAGTCTTAAACGCGCGTTTTAAAAACGCTCATTCAAAAATCGATTTTTTCAAATGCATGATATCATTTGAAATATTTTTTTACTTTTTGAAAAATGTATGGATCAATACAATTTTTTCATGAGATGTAGTATTTATATACATCTTTCATTGGACATACTGTTTTTTTAAATCGGATCATTTCCCTATATACGAGGGGAGTTTAAATCTAAAAAATGCATGTAGAAAGTAGAACTTTTTCAACTTAACTTTTGGAAGTGTTCCGGAAGGGCTGTCACTTTTATATATATCTTAAATTAAAGCTTATGTAATATACTTTAAATTGAAAAAAAAAAATTTGACCTCTGGACTTGTCTTCATGGTGAAAATGGCTATCGAATGCTATTTTTGTGTGAAATTTCTCGATTTTATATTTTACATTTTTTACTTAAAAGTGCTATAACTTTTTAAAAAGTGTATGGATCAACACAATTTTTTTATGAGAAATAATATTTTTTAATAAACCCTTTTTCATTGGACATACTTTATCTTAATCGAGATATTAATAAGGAACCAGCAGATCATGTAGCTTTTGGAATAAAACACCAATTTTTTTTAAATTAAACACTATCTAAAGATTTGCAACGAAGCGTTTATTTTTGATAGTGATTTTAATCACTGTCAGATATCATTATACTTGATCCAACTATACCACGGCACCACTGTGCCGCGACCCCCCTGTGCTGGATTTTTTATTTTTAACTTTATAATGCTATAACTTTTTGAAAGATGTATGGATCAATATAATTTTTTATGAGAAACAATATTTTATAATAATCTCTTTTATTCATTCAAGATCAATCATTCAGGATATTAATAAGAAAAGAGCAGATCATGTAGTTTTTGGAATAATATACCAATTTTTTAAAATTAAACACTATCTATAGATTTTCATCAAAGCGTTTTTTTTTTTTTAGTGTTTTTAATCACTGTTAGATATCATAATACTAGATCTAACTATGCCACGTCACCACTGTGACGCGATCCCCTGTGCTGGGTTGTTTTAGCTTCGATGCGAAGCTGAGAAGGTATTGGTTTTATTTTATATGTGTTTTTTTTTTTTTTTTTTTTTTTGTGTCTGTTA